CGCATTATGATACTTGTATAAACCCTAGTGCAAATAAATGATCGACAAGATTAAAGTATTTTATGATAGCGCGCCGCGCGCTTTCTTTGTTGGACGGTTACTTTTAAATTAACATATCAAGGAGACGTTTCTGAATTCAGGTACTAGTAAAGTATATAATCTGTCATTTAAGTGTTGGTCCTATATTCATTTTGTAATGATTAAATCTGTTGTTTTTCTTTGCGCAGCATAAAAACTGTTTATTGCGTAGCGAAATTTACTTGTAGACTTGCTTTTCGCACAAAATGTACATGTTATGATTATTTTTCTATTATTTTTTATTTTTATCGAATTGCATGTGCTAATTTATGTAGGTACTGTCATTTGAATTCATAAATGAATGTAAGTCTAGCTAAGTACTGGTTTGTGTATCTAACGGTGCGAGCAAGGAGCGGAGAATAACAGAGTTCCTTCTAATTTACAGTGACTGGGTACATTATGTAGATTTCCGTGCACTACATACACTGTACTTAAATATTTATTACCTACTAAGGGTTAGCATTCATGAGGCTCCGGTGCAATTTTGCGTTAGGGTTAGTTTTCTTCTGTATTGTGCTCGGTGCTTCAATTCATAATTTATAGTCTTGCATAAATTATAGAGCTTACAATATTATATATACATATATATATACAAATGCTAATCTATCAGTTATATACACAAGGTGAAATCGACTTTAATAGCGCTTTTTACGGAAGCATTTTATCAGTAAAACGAAATTTGTTTTTTTCTTAAAAAAACATGAGTTGAAAAGCGATAAAAAATTGCCTTCAGTACACGGTGCTTACGTAATATCTCAGAATGATTAAATGACTTTTTGTCATTTTTCGATTCCTTTGTTCTTATTTTTTTTGTTTATATTTATCCATGTTTCTTTAGGAAATAATTTCAGTTTCATTAATGGAATACTCTCTTAGAAGGATATTTATAATTTTGATAGGTATCTTGTGTATTTACAAAATACGTTGAATTAAATAGTGCATACATAGTCAATATCATTATTTAATTTAGTCAAATATTTTCTTATTATAAAACACTTGACATTTTATTTAATGTACATTGTTATAGAAATGTTATTAAACTAAGCAATCACATTCTCTGATATTGTGTTAGAAAAAATTTAAAGCGGCAAGTTTTTGTGAGAACACATTATTATTTACAAATTTGCTTTAATCATACAAGAATTTTTAATATACGATTTTTTTTTATTTTTATATAGTCAAACTTTTCATTTTCCATCTTGAATTTAGGAATTAAAAATGTGTTTACTTATGACCATGGTACGTTCATACATAAAATGTCGATAGTGTGATAATCCACTTAGTTTAAGTATTTAATACAGCAACACCAATATAAACAGCTTCACCCGTAAGAGTTCCTGTCTCAGTATTTCCTGTCCTTATCTTAGTCTAAGAATCTGTAAATTATTTACATTACATCATACGGTTGTAAGGCCAATATTAGATGTATTGAAAACTTGGGCCGTGCCTTCATAAATCGCCTTTACTCCTTTCATTTGCTTTGCGAAAATTATACGCCATAATTTACCCCCCAGTAGCGTCATAAGTTCAACGCAGACAGTTTACGAAGCGTTATTTCCTACAAGTACATTGGCACTAAACATTGCTGTTTCCTTAATAATATAACGGATATATGGTAGCTGAATGTCTCAGTAATAGGGCTGTCAGTAATTATATTGTTATTGATGAATGACGACGTATTAAAAGATCTTAATTAAAAGAAAATCCAGCCATCAGTGTCCACAGGACCTATAGATATCGAAGCCTATATTAGACATGTTTTATGATCTAATATATGTTAATAATATAATATAACTATAAAAATAATTTATAGATGTGTGTATGTATGCGTGTGTATGTGTATGTGTATGTATGTGTGTATATGTATATATGTGTATATATATATATATATATATATATATATATATATATATATATATATATATATATATATGTATGTATGTATGTGTATGTGTGTGTATGTATGTATTTTGCATATATAAAAACCGATCATTGTCATTACGCAAATGTGAAAACGATTCATGGCTTAACATAGATATAAATTTGATTATGTATTGACTGTAATTCAGCTGTACGTTTTCCAAAAAATAAATAAATAAATATTAATTTATTTTATGCTATTTAGTTGACATATGAGTAAATTATAATAGTTATTGATTGCAAAAGAATTATTATAATCGGTGCGGAATTCGGAAAGATATCGTCTAACAAACAAAACGACTTAAAAACAGACCCTTTATATAGTATACTTTGTTACCTGTTAAGATCCCTTACCTTATTCGTACAAAATGTATCAAGGTTAAATTCATATTTGTCTACTGACTCATGACCAAAAAGTCATTTAATGTATAGGGTATTTCCGGTGGTTTCAAATGAAAATAATGTGAAAAACAACAATTTCATACATATATATTTTTATTTATTTTGCATCTGCGTTTTAGTCACAGTTACCTGGTATTTTTTAAGTGTGTAAGTTTTTTGTTCGGCATTAAAATGTTTCATATGTACAACTATAGTAATACTGTAACATATTCGTTGCTAAAAAAATTTTTTTAAATGGGAATGTAAAACAAGTGGTTGGTCCGTCTAATGAAAAGTGGTAATCGCTCTCTATATAATTTATATATATAATATATATTACTGTTATACTATGCCCTTTGTACTCCTCATATGCTATAATATTGAAATTATTTTCTAAATGACATGACATATAATTTTTCCAAATTGCATTTGTCAACCATAGCTGTACGTTCTAGTCGCGCACGGAACATAAAGCGGGGCTCGCTTTGGCGTGCTTTGGTGTCGTTTTGGCGTCTCGACTGCAAAGCGCTACGCTTCGCATGCTACTACTGACTCCACAAAATGTTACCTTTGCGAAATATAAATAATTAAGTCTAAGTATAGACTATCGTTCCACTAACAATCGTGTTAACATTTAACAACACTAAAATTGTTGTTTTATGTGTTTGTGGTGTATTTATTTTACCAAATATTAAATGTAAGCGCTCTGTGTTTTATTATTGTTAAAAAAATATGAACCAAGACTAAAACAATAAAAATATGTAACGAATTTAGATTAATGTATTAAATAATAAAGTTATTGGTTGGACGTATTTAGATATTGCTTAACAATAACTATTCAAAATATCACTTATCTATCTTTATGCACTGAATGTTATTAAATATTACTCTTTTAAAAGTCATGATATGTAAAAATTGAATTAATTTTTGCGAATAAATTAATTTCAAACACTGAATATGAGAATGAATGAACAAGTAGTTGAAGTTTCTTATTAGTTTGAGAGAACAATCGATTATCAATCATCTTCATAAGGAATCAATTGATTATCATAAACCACAAACGTGCCGGTATATTTTAATTACAATCTAATATTAGTTTATAGATCGAGAGAAGAATATGAAACTTCGAAAGGTTAAAGGAACCTGAATTGTATAAAGTGGGGAGAAAGGGATTGTTAGTAATGGAGACTGAGAATCCTATTGCTAGCAATATTCCCAACTTGGTCGACCTCCTCGGGGTTCTCCCTGGAAACTATCATGGTCAATTCCTGATAAATTCATCATGATGGGCTAACTGGCCTGTTTTTATTCTCATCTATCACCCTTTAATGTTGCTCCGCCAGCGTATCCCGTTAGCGCAGGCGGGGTTACCATACCATTTTTATCGATAAAAAAAAATAGTATAAAGTAGTGATATATTCAAACTCTTGTCAGCTCTTACTACCATTTTTAGTGAGTTAATTTTCATTCATCTTTCTTCATCATCATTCTTTAAATTATAAAGATTATCATAATATTAAAAAGGTACAAAGGTAACATTAATTTCCATGTCGCAAATAAGGTAAATAATCTTTTAACAGTGAGAAGTGAAATTCCATTTAAGACATTTTAATTAAATGTTGGCAAATATTGTCATTCTTTCGGCATAAAAAATGTGAGACCAAATTATATATAATACAATACTATAATAGGCCAAGCATATATTACGTATGCATATATGTTTATATATATAAACTTTATCGTATATAATCTTTTGGAGGTAACAATAAAAGTATCTATCTATCTATAGTATGTTTGTTAGATATATGTATATTAAATATATAAAAAAATCAGTATTAAATATACAACAATTTATAATTTTCCTAGCAACTACTAAAATACTGTTTTAACACTACTGTTAAATTAATATTTACTTTCATCGGACAATAAATTGATACATTTACCTATATCCTATTGTTGTTTATGTTTTTCAGAATTCATATATAGTTTTGTAGTAAGGGTCGAACCCATTTAAAATACCCGTACATTGTATACGAGTATACGCCAGAACTATTCTCATTTTAAGTTTTGTGTTTCTACAGTTAGTGTTGGGCTTAGTTCGTTCTATTGTTTTAATATTTCTAATGTAATTTTCTCCTTTATATTAACGTTAAATATAGAAGTTGTAATAATGGTCATGGGATGTCCTCTCTATTAATCTGTCCGATTGTGGAGTAAGGGCATACGGGTACGCAACCCCGGCCTCCATAGCTACTACAGTTACAAAACCTATGTCCTCTCCGTAGCTGTAGTATCCCCCATTTTTCCTATAGTTCCTTTCCACTTATCACCTCCTTTCCTTATAACCTATTCCTTTCCCAATGTAACCTATTTCCTTTCCCTATCCGATGTTAAGAAGAGCAGTTCTTTTTCAAAATGATAAGAGAAATTAAAACGCAACTACCCCAGGAGGGTACCGGCACTGCCGGAGAATCCGTCCCTGAGTGCAACTCAGGCAGTCCCATCGTATCTGGGGGGACAAATTTCTCATCGACGGCGATGCGTTATGCCACGGGTCACGTCATGTCTCCCCTGTTTCCCCAAATGGCAAAAAGAGGGCAAAGGAATGCCAAATTGCAACGATGAATGTTTGTGGAGGTATGGATAGTAAAATAGACGAAGTATGTGAGATGATGAGTGAAAGAAGAATTGATGTATTAGGAGTAAGTGAAACAAAAAAGAAAGGCTGCTCTATTACTACTTATGACCGATATACTGGGTACTGGTCTGGAGTTAATGACTCTGAAAGAAGCAGCCAAGGAGTGGGAGTTATTTTGTCAGAGAGAATGAATGCATCTGTTAAAGAATTTGAATTTGTAAGTCCTAGACTCCTCTGGATACGACTGAAAGTTGGTTTGACCCGTATTTTTCTCCTTTGCGCTTATGCCCCGGATATGTCCAAGCCACCAAAGGTCAGAGAGGATTTCTGGGATAGTGTAAGAGAGATTATGACTAAATGTAAGGAGAATGAAAGAATTATTTTGATAGGTGATTTTAATGGCTGGGTGGGAATCCGTCGCGATGGATATGAAAGGAATTTAGGAATGTTTGGAGATAAAAGAGTGAATGAAAATGGTGAAAGTTTATTAGAAGTATGCCTGGAGAGAAATCTGGTGGTGACTAATACTTTGTTTAGTCACAAACTGATTCATATGTATACATGGCAAAGGCAAACTGAGAGAAGTATGATTGATTTTGTAATTGTGGATGAACGATTGAGAGCGAAAGTGAAGGATACAAGAGTCTATCGTGGTACGAATGTCGGAACCGATCACTTTTTGGTGATATCGAGAATAGGTGGCTTATTCAATAAATGGCGACATCGTCCACGTGTTCGTATGTCAGAAATAGAAAGAGTAAGAGTAGAGAGACTGACAGAAGAACAGGTTCGAAATCAGTATCAAGAAAGATTGAATGAAAGATTTAGAGAGCTACTGAAGAAAGATAACTATGAGATAGAAGAATTTTGGAAGGAATTTAAATGCGGAATCTTTGATATAGCTACTCAAGTTTGTGGTGTAAGTAAGAGGAAGGATGTTAAGATGAGAATGAATGTATGGTGGGATGGCGAAGTGAAAGAAATGGTGGCTCTAAAGAAAAAGGCATGGATGGATTTGTTAGCTACCAGAGCTAATAAGAGAATGCAAGGTAATGTAAGTGACATTGAAAAAATTGCAAAAGAGAAGTATGATGTAATGAAAAAGAAAGTTAAAGAATTAGTAAGCAAAAAGAAAGAGGAATGTAAGGATGAGTATGAAAGGAAATTCTCTAGAAATTTTCGAGCTAATCAAAAGCTTTTCTGGCATTTAGTTCGAACAGCTAGAGGTAAAAAGAGAGATCCGAAAATGGGCGTGATAAGGGATATGGATGGTAATGTTATCACGGAACAAAAGGAAGTCTTAGATCATTGGAAGAGATATTTTGAAAGTTTATTTGAACGTGGAAGTGAAAGAAAGAATGTTGAAAATGAAATAATGGACGAAGAAGTTGACAGTGAAAGTGATATAAGTATGGATGAAGTAATGAATGCAATGAAGATTATGAAATTTGGTAAAGCAGCGGGATTCGATAGAATATCTGCCGAAATGCTTAAAGAAGGTGGAGAAATCATTGTAGACCTGCTGTGTCTGCTGTTCAATAAATGTTGGCGGTCCGGTTGTGTTCCAGGTGACTGGAGCAAAGCTGTTATTGTGCCACTATATAAAGGCAGCGGGTCACAGCAGGAGTGCAAAAATTTCCGCGGAATAAGCCTTCTTAGTGTTGTAGGCAAATTGTATGCTAGGATTTTGATTAAAAGAGTGATGAATGAGACGGAAAGTAAAATTTGGGATGTGCAAGCAGGGTTTCGAAAGGGCATGGGATGTACGGATCAAGTCTTTTCCTTAAGGTGCATAACAGAGAAAACCTTAGCTCAACATCAGAAGGTTTTCTGCGCCTTCATTGACCTTGAAAAGGCTTATGATAGAGTGGAGAGGAATGAACTGTGGTCAACACTGGCAATGTATGGGGTGAGCAGCCATTTGATACGGGCATTCAAATCTTTATATAAGGATTCAAATGCCTGTGTCAGAATAAATGGAGTCTATACAGACTGGTTTGGCATTGAACGCGGTGTTAGACAGGGCTGTGTAGCGTCTCCTTGGCTGTTCAACCTATTTATGGACAGTTGCTTGACCGATTTGAAAGGATCTAATTGTGGATTCAGGATGAATGAGTCTCTGTTTAAGACTCTTTTATACGCCGACGACCAAGTACTTTTTGCATCGTCGGAGTATGAATTACAACAAATGGTGACTATAATGAATGAAGCGTATGCAAGAAAAGGTATGAAAATAAATGCGAAGAAGACGAAGGTAATGGTTTTTGAGAGGAATGAAAGTTTAACGGCATGCCAGATTATGATAGGAGATGAAAAAGTAGAGCAAGTGAGTGAGTTTCTATATTTAGGTTCTTTGTTTACGAGGGATGGGAAGTGTGACAGAGATATTGAGAGGAGAGTAAAAGCGGGAAACAGTGTTAACGGTGCACTGCTCTCGATTATGTCAAGTAAAAATGTATCGAGCAAAGCTCGCCTTGCTATAATTCAAGGAGTACTGACACCAACACTCATGTATGGAAGCGAATCGTGGGTATGGCAGAAGAAGCATGAAAGTAAGATAAATGCTGTACAGATGAGAGCTTTGAGAAGTATGTGTGGTATTACTTTAAAAGATAGAGTAAGAAACAGTGTGGTTAGAGAGAAGTGTGGACTGAAAGACGATGTAGTGACAAAAATTGAAAAAGGAATGTTGCGTTGGTTTGGTCATTTGGAGAGGATGGATGAAAGAAGAATTACGAAAGAGATTTATCGAGCAAGAATGAATGGAGATGTCGGTAGGGGCCGCCCTAGACGGACGTATGTCGACCAAATAGGCGACGTGCTGAAGAAGGGCCAAATTAAAAGTACCCGTAACCGACGAGCGTGTATGACAAGATTGATGAATGTGGAAGAAGCGAAAGAGGTTTGTTTGAATCGAAGCATTTGGCGTTCCATTGTTTCTGCCTACCCTAATGGGAGACAGGCGTGACAGATATGTATGTATGTATGTTGTAATAATGAAGTATATGTTGTAGTTTTTGATGATGGATGGATGAATGGATAGCCGTTTGTTGCTCTTTCACAAAAAAACTGCTAAACGGAATTAAATAAAATTTGATACACAGGTAGGTTACATAAGATACTTTATTTATGCGCTTTTGTACATTCATTTATAATATATAATACAAAAGCATATAGATAATGTTATAACAAAAATGCACAAAGATATTTTATGTACTGATTTTCGTGAGCGGAGCCGCGGGATACAGCTAGTAATTAATATATTATATGCTTATCTAACCCTAGTTAGTGTATTTAAGTACTAGATACAATTTAATGTAATAATTTATATTATGATGTTTCTAAGTTCTGTTATACCGATTTTTATTAAAAGCTGACAATTATAGATTAATAGGACGAGTCACTTTGCGACTACATATGTATATTACGAAACATTGGAAGTAACCATTTTAGCCTTTCTGCGCGCGCATTGTATTGCATTTCATATCATACGACACGGGAATGCGGGAAACATTTATTAGTGCATTGACCTACTTACCTACGAGTACGTGTTATTTTATTTTAGTAGTACAATGGTAATGCAAAACATTCCCTGCATACTTACCAATAAATACCATAATACAAGTGGTTTAGGGTTATATTTTATCCTTAATATATATATTTAAATGTATATACGAGTATACTCATATTTTTTTGGCACTCGGAAAATTAAAAAGTACTTCGAATTATCGATCAACAGTTAGATGTTTGATTGCAAAAATATTCAAGCGCCTCACTCATAAACTGCATTCAATTTTTAGGGTTCTCTACTAAAAAGGTATAAACGAACTCTTATTGTGCGCCTTTGTCCGTCCGTCCATCAGTCTGTCACAGAATTACATATTAGCAACTACCTTTTCGAATTATTGGCCATACATATTGCAATAGAAGTAATTGAAATTTATTTTCATTTTTATTTCTAGGGTTTCGAAATGATTACTCAAAATTTCAGAATTGTCCTACTAGTTTAAGTAGGATATTATAATGGAATGAAATGAAACGACATGAAAGGACTTTATTTGTACATTTTAAAACTGATTTTTATTTATATTTATGCTACGTATTATTTTTATATTTAAAAGCCATTCCCCCATTTCTGCTTATTTCCGAAATCTCTGCAGCAAAAAATCTATAATAGTTACAGTTTAGAAAGGTATTACATAAATTTCTTTTTCAATCAATCCCAAGTAATATGATGCAACAAACCTAAAGAAGTATATCTATTAGTACTAAGTGGACATCCAAGTCAAGTGTCTCTATCTGATCGTCCATTTCCATACAGGACGTGTGATTCAACAGCACCACTTTCTTGCAAATGTACTCATTTGCTGTCCATATGGAGCTCATCCTTTTACTGTCGGTTAATAAAACGTTCATTCATGTGTGTGTGTGTGTGTGTGTTACCCACCTTATTATAGACCAAGGTCGTGATTTCGTATCGCCTTTTTATCATTTGAATCAATCGGTTTTAATCATGCGTCGTCGAGTCAAATACGGACTGGAGCCTTATGAGTAGACTTCTGCGGCACATGTTCACTATATTAACATGAAGTTTGGTGGACTTGAATTACTTATATTTGCATATTGTTTCTTACCATTTATCGTATATCTTTTACTAATAACCATGCATATATTAATATAATAAGACGGTGAGATAAGAGAAACGCACGAATAGATTCTTTTAAATCTATTATTATATATAGCCATAGTCAAGTAGTACAACATCTCAAATGAGGTATTCAGAAGTATTTTCTAGACTTTTGCAGTTGTTTATATCAAAAACGTATTTATACCTAATAACCATTAGGGTTTAAATTATACTCGAGTGAAATTGGCGCGGGTCGCTAGATTAAAAGATTAGTACTGGTATTAGCAATAAAATCCAATGCTTATTCTATTCTAAATTATTATATTTATATGATATTACTTAGAACATACCTTTATTATATTTATTTTTGAATGTAATAATTGTACCAACACAGCATTGGCAAAGTACCTACGATAAAAGACTTACTCATTTTTTCAATATAGCGGATATTAGAGGTAAGTAGATATTTCTTAAATATTTAATGTCTCAATTAGGTATATATATGTCACGAAATAATATACGTTCTATCTTTCAAAAGATATGTACATTGATCCGGCTTAAATAAGTATATCATTTAAGAGATGACAGTCACTGAAATAGTTTAACCTGAATAGGACCTTGTGCCCTCGAACTTTAGATTTGATTTACATATATTGATTATTGTTTCATACTTACTTTTTTATTTTTATGTCCATATATAATATTCAGGTATTATTGCAATATACTTTGTAGGGACAATATTGCAATATAATAGTAGTAATAAATAGTGACTAATTGGCAAAAAAAGGTACGTTCGTATCCCGATCAATTTATTTCATAAATCGATCTATTTTCTTATCTATTAGGATTTGGTACCAAATAGATACAAAGAAACCCTTATGGTACGACGTTGTCCGTTTGTCCGCTCGTCTGTTGCAGCGCTATATCTCAGCAATGTTATAGATTTGAAATTTGTAGTAGAAAAATAGTTTACATATAGTTTGCTCGCATATATTGAAATTGAAATAATTGAAAAATGCGTACGTTAATTCATTTGACATTCCACGTTGCTTGAAAAAATCCTTTCATCCACTATCTATTCATCTACAGTAGTATTATTTCCCATTATTAGTAATACTACTGTTATAAAACAGTCTATATTAAGAGTTAAAGCTTTATCATTCAGTGGTTTCAGATACAACTCATGATAATACCTTTAATTTATTTATATGAAACGCCCGTTTACTTATGATACTATGTCCAGTATAAGCAGAGGGAGACTTTGTACAAAAGTCGATTGCTTGGGTACCTCTGTCCCATTCGTGTTTCAACCGTGAAGCAGTTGTGTTTGCATAACTGTGTTTCGGTTTGAAGGATGGGATATGGCGTGAATTTACTGGGTACAGAGGAATAACACCTGAGTCCTCAGGAATGGCAACGCATGGGGGGTATCATGGGCGAAACAGTATACTCTATTATGTCCATGGTACTGCTCATGTCTATAGGCGACGGTTACTACTTTCCATCAGGTGGGCCGTCAGCTTGTTTGCCATTCTAAGTAGTACAAAAAAAAAAAAAAAAAGCAGGACTCAATGTAGTTTGTTTGGGCCTAGGTGTGCAGATCAAACATAAATGGATTTGAGGCAGATAAAAACTCTAAGTTGGAACATTGCGGAAATTGCTATTTAATTGGGAATCGCCCACTCTATGTCGTGCATCGAACCGGTCGTGGAGGATGCACGCGATCTTAGCCCAGCCAAGTGCGACCGACTAGTGAATCAATGTTGCCATAATGAAACAATTACTGATACAAATCGATTGGATTATATTTTATCCGTTGTCTAACAAGTATTTATAGGTTCGATCTATGTGCACTATTCAAAATAGGTTTGGTCATTATTCCAATGTAATTTGTATAATATTTGATAATTATTAACTATTAACTCAATTATTTATTAACTCACTCGGCTTTGTACGATTTTAAACATCTCTTTTAGATATTAATTTATAGAACTATAGAAGCTTATAAGCTGAAATTTGCAAGGGCTGTTAACAAAGAAAGGTTATATGGAAAATGCCTTAAATTTTTCGATAATTTTGTTTATTATTAGTGTCAATTTATTATTTTTAAATCTATAGTAGCTAAGAATTTAATGTTTATAATATCGTATGTTATGCAGAGTAGTTATTACAGTACAAATTTGATGTTGTTTTATGTAATATTTATTTTATTAATGTATTAATTTGTATTCTTTTGCTTTGCTATAAATAAATAAATAAATAATTGCTTAGACGTTATATCCGGGTTGTATACGGGTTAAAAATTAAATAATTAGTATTTTTAAAGAAGTTAATATACAAAACAAATTTAGAATTTGTTTTTAAATAATTTCTTAAGTCGAAAAATTACTAAAAATATTAGGCCTCCTGTATTACAGCGTATTTAACTGATAGTTCATATCACAGTTCATTTTTTTTTTTTAATTTGTGAAAGTGTAATGGTAACCCTGCCTGTTCTAACGGTATACGCTGGCGGGGCACCAGTGAGGGATGATAAGTAATAATGAAAAAGCAGATCAGCCCATCATGATAAATACACCTAGAATTCAGCACGATGGTTTCCAGGCGGAGCCACTTAGAGATCGACCTGACAGGGTATATTGCTCGAATTAGACTGTACACCAATCCCATTGCTAGAATGGGACTGGTGGTCCGTATTATTGACAATCCCTTTCCCCCTACAGTTCATAGTTCGCAGACAGTTCACAGACATCCAAACACTAAACGTTTGGTAAACAATATTGATTCCATTCTGTATATTGATATTTTTCCACCACAGATTAAGGATTGTACCTGTGTTCCCGTAACTAATGATTTATAAGTATAATTTTTGTAGATATTTAACACGCTGATCCGCAGTTTTGCATGCAATAAAACCCACCTTATTCAGATGGTACTGTATATTCTTTTATATGTGCAGGCTGAGGTCTAGATATATTCAAAAATCCTTTAGCGATCTTTGTATTCAGTATAATAATGTATTCAGGGTGCTGTTGGAATTGCCACGATTTTGTAGTGCTACAGGGATGTTTGCAGAAGTCTGCGTAGATTGCTTTTATGCCACAATGCGTAACTGGTGAGTAGAGTGCGGGGCAGTACCAATGGCATCCTGAATATGGTTGCTAGTAGGTTGGACTGCCTACATTGGTCACTGTTGTGTGATATTAAATGGTATGTCACGGCGGTGACCAAATTTGTCAAATTGTTCCTTTTTTTTTTATTATAAGATGTGGCTGAGAATACGAGGGGTAGCTGATAAGTTCGCGACCTAAGGTACTAAGCGATGATTCATCATCTCATTACTGATAATACTAACGTAACGTAACGTAACGTGACTCCTTGTAAGTATGAGTATAAATAATACCCCATTTTTGTATTTACTTCATTAACACTCAATCCTTGGAACCATCAACAATACAATGTCAGAAGAAATTGGAAATTCTCACAATTTAGAGCACTGCGCTGTAATTAAATTCCTTGTTAAAAAAGGAAATACAGCAAAACAAATTTTTAAAGAAATATCACCGGTTCCATTATGCACCTTTATATACGATGGTAAAAAATTTAGCTCGGCTATTTCAACAAGTATGTTACTAATAAATTGGCCATTGTGGTCTGTAATAAAGATATTATTATAATTAGAAGGCGCATTGTTTAATGGTGTCTTAGACATGTAAGCATTGGTATCTAGTCAAGAGCAATTTTATTTTGCTACGTCGCAAACTTTGTACTCTATTTGCAAACTTATTGAATAAAGGTGGCAAATTTGTTACGAAGACAAATAAGGCACCCGTGCGTGCAACTTCACTTTACTCAAAGAGCGGGAATTATGCATTATATCAATAAAACTACGCACGCATTGTTTCTTTAACATTTAAATAGGTAGTCGTAACGTCATATAAAATTCTAAAAATATTTCCTAAACATATCTTTACATTTTATTGGCAGATAGTAATGTGATTTGTGAATATTAGTATTTTATTTGTAATGTTAATTGTTGTTTGTTGAAAAACTATTGATGTTTTTACAATTAAATATACATATATATATATATATATATATATATATATATATATATATATATATATATATATATATATATATAATACCATATCATAGTGTATTCGATAAAATGAAGGCCCTATTATATAATATTT